CCTAACCTAACCTAACCTAACACAACTCAGATTAAATTAAGTTTACTGTACAAAAAGGTCTGTCAGCTTAAAGTTGGGTTTGAGATATTTCGTTTACTTCCACTAACATATGGAACGTTAACTAATGTGGTAGATAGTCGGTTTCCAGTTCTTGTATGGTGTAATATCGACTACCCAGTTTTACTGTTAGGTTGTAGGAAACCTATTTTTAGTTTGGAGACAGGTTTGATTCCTATTCAATGTATGCAGTACAAGTAAATACAGACAAATAGAAAACAGTATGAAAGCAAATCGTAATCTATTCCAGAGAGTAACTGGTCCTTGAAGTTGGTCGAGAATTATGTTGATAAGCTACCTGAGCAGGAACTCTTTCCCGTGCCTCTATCATTGCTGAATATTGGCGGGAATTTGCTTACATCAACAAACAAGGCAGATTTGACCTAAAACTTTGTTCAAGACCTGGCTCAAAGTAACACACGTGTCAACCCTCATTCTACATGCACCATAATCGATGGTATGACATAAGTTGTCTTCTGACCTCACTAGAGGAAAGGTCAAAGTGGCTTAGCTCCCAGGGATCAATTGTCAGTAATGGCTAGTACTACTTGCGAACAGGGCTGTGCCCTTTTGAGGGCCAAGTTAAAGAGGGCCAAGGAAGAAATCTTGAAATTAAAGGAAGAGATAGCGAGGATGAAGGAAGAAACGAGGCAAGGAAAGCCGGTGTCTGGCAAAAACTCAGGCGAATGGAAGGTTGTGAGGAGAGGGACGACCAAACTGGTGGTAAAAAAACCCACCAAGGATATGACAACAATGACAACAACAGCTAAGTGTACCAACTCTTTCAGTCCCTTGATAGATGAATTGGACATTAGTATAGTCAGGGACAAGGCTGACAAGGAAGGTACGAAAACCTTAATTGTTGGCGACTCCCAGGTACTGTACTTGGGCAGAGCTTTTTGTGGTAAAGATAAAAATAGGATGAGGGTGTGTTTGCCAGGGGCTGGGGTGGGGGATATAGTTGACAAGATGGACGATATCTTGTCTGGTAATGGGAACAAACCCATTATCTGCCTCAGTGCAGGAGGCAATGATATTGGCCGGTGTAGGAGTGAGGAGTTTCTTGATAAGTTCAAGACAGCTATAGAATGTATTAGGTCTAAGGGAGGGATCCCTATCATATGTGCTGGTCTTGCCTAAAAGGAGAGTTGGCAATGAATGGTTGTCAAGGGCAGTTGGTGTCAACGGCCATCTTGACAGATATTGCAAGTCAATATCAGTCCCATTCATTGACAACTAGGGCAACTTCTATGGCAGAAGGGACCTTTATGCTAGGGATGGGGTGCATCTGTCTAGGGATGGGGTGGCAACCCTGGCTGGGTCTCTCGAGAGGGCAGTTCAAAAGATGTCGAAGTCTTTAAACTGCTAGGGGAACATATAAGCACGTGGGGTGGAGGAGACTGCAGTGGGAGTGGGTAAAAAAAGTGAAAGGTTACAGGGTGCTAGGAATTATGACAAAACTAAATTAGGCAGGGAGTTAAAACCTAAACGCGACAAAGAAAGGACTCGGAACACGACTTACTTAAATGTCTATTACGCAAACAGTAGAATTATGAGAAATAAAATGGATGATATTAGGGCCTTGGTATATATTGAAAAAATCGATATAATATCATTCACCGAAACATGGATAAACCTAGACTCACGTGAGTTACCTGTTGAATACCAAATTTCAGGTTACAAATTATTCCATACCGATAGGAAGATTAGGAAAGGAGGCGGAGTAGCAATCTATGTCGGGGATAATCTGAAGTGTGAAATAAATGAAATCAAAACTGAGCTGATTACAGAAACAATTTGGATAGAGTTAATCGATGGTAGGGAAAAATTAATCACAGGATTAATATATAGACCTCCTAATCTTGATAGAGTTAATGAGCAACTTATTTGGGACAAAATGTGCAGGGCTTCCATACATAGCAAAGTCTGTATAATAGGCGACTTTAACTTTAGCCAAATAGATTGGATTGACCTTACAGGTAACTCAGGATTTTCTTGAAATGATCCAGGACTGTTTCCTAAGTCAACATATAACCGAACCCACCCAGGGTAATAATATACTCGATTTAGTTCTGTTGAACAGAGAAAACTTCATTAGTAATGTCGAGGTAGGGAATGAACTCGCAAACAGCGATCACAAAGAAATTAGATTCCAGTTAGAATTTCAGGACAGCTGTAAGGAAAATTCCACTAAAGTCCCAGATTTCAGAAGGGCAAACTTTGATAAATTGAAGAGGCAGCTGAGAGAGGGGGTGTCATGCTTGGGGGTGAACGACATGACTGCACATGAGGTGACCTTGTGGGGATTATGAGATATGGGTTCACACTCAGGATGGGATGGAGAAAGGAAACTCACAATGTGCTCTCTGTATACATGTTGTATTGGATGTACAATGCAGCTTGGTGCTGGGAAGGCAGCATGGTTACAAGCGTGATGTAGAGAGAGCTGGTTGGTGAGGATGCTCAGAGGAGGACAGCTTGTGGGTCGCCATGCTCGCCGGCGGGAGCGAGGGCCGCCAGGCAGCGGCGGAGGAGGAGGTGTTGCTTGCTGTGGCTGTAGCTAGAAGAAGAGAGAGGTCACCACGAGGTCAGGTCTTAAATAGCGGGGGTAGGCGTGGCTTAGTAGTTGACCTCCGTGATGTATGGCGGCGGGAGCGAGGGCTGGGAGGTGGTGTTGCTTGTTGGTTGGTGTAAGTAGAAAAGAGGGTGGTCGGTACGGTACGGAGTCTTTAGTCATGAGGTGAAAGAAGATTATTAGGGGCTCAACCAGAACGCTTCATCTTTCCTATTGGTGTTTTATCTTTGTTCTGCTCCCTTGGGTCGTCAGACCTTTGTATTAATATTGGTTTATTTATATAATGCTGCTTATTATTATTATTTTTTATTAATGCTTGGAGTTAGTGAGCCCGCCCAGGTCCTTGTGTAACTGGGAGGGTAGTCACATTTTTTTTCTAAGGTGTTAGTTAAGTGTTAGTTGTGTTAGTCTAAAGGTACACTGTATGGAGAGGCCTGCCAGGTTCTTAGTGGAGCTGGTAGGTCACTCTCATCTTTTATTTTCTCTATTAATGTTTTATGTGTATATGTGTATATTGGGGCAGGAGGTGGTTCAATTACTTCTTCCTGGCTGATGTAACTGGGAGGGTAATCACATTATTAGGGTGGTCACAACGAGGTCAGGTTTTTTATAGCGGAGGTAGGCGTGGGTAGATAGTTGACCCCAGCTCCGTGGGCAGCGCTGGTTGACCCAGACCACGAGGCATACACTGGGGAATTCGCGGGGTCGGCTACTCAGCGACAAACAGCGTTTGTCGGGGAGAAATCCACTACAACACCTTTGGAGAATGGTGTGGTAACTTTCAAAAAGCTGTGAATGGCCTACCACAAATTAAGAACATAAGAAAATAAGGAGTCTGCAATAGGCCGGTTGGCCTGTGCATGGCAGCTCCTGTCGAGAGTTTCTACCACTCTCTATCATCCATGAATCTATCTAGCCTCCTTTTGAAACTTTCCAGAGTTCCCGCACTAACTACAAAGTTGCTAAGCTTGTTCCACTCGTCCACCACCCTATTTGTGAAACAGTTTCTTCCTATCTCCCTCCTAAACCTAAACTTATCCAACTTGAATCCGTTGCTCGAGTCCTATCCTGCTCAGATATTATAAGAACTTTATCTATATCCCCTTTATTGATTCCTTTCACCCACTTAAATACTTCTATCATATCTCCCCTCACTCTTCGTCTTTCTAGGGAATGCAAGTTAAGTTTCTTTTAACCTATCCTGATATGGAAGGCTTCTAAGTCCCGGAATCATTTTTGTCATTCTTCGCTGCACCGACTCTAGTGAATTTATATCCATTCTATAATAGGGGCACCAGAACTGAACCGCATAATCGAGGTGCGGCCTAACTAGCGCAAGATATAGTTGCAATAAGACCTCTGCACTCTTGTTACTTACACTTCTAGATATAAAACCCAATACTCTGTTTGCCTTATTTCGAACATTAACGCATTGTTTTCTAGGCCGTAGGTCCGGGCTTACAAGTACCCCTAGGTCTCTTTCACAAGTCGACTTCTCTAGGTTGATGTTGTTAAGGCTGTATACATTATAAGTATTTGTTCTTCCAATATTAAGTACGCTGCACTTGCTGGTGTTGAATTTCATTTGCCATTTTTCAGACCACCCCTGCAGTTTATTTAGATCCTCCTGTAATGCATATGCATCCCGCCCTGAATTAATTTGCCGCCCTATTTTGTTGTCATCCGCAAACTTGCTTATGTCACTGCTGATCCCAGTATCTAAATCGTTTATGTAGATTATGAACAAGAGTGGGCCTAGTTCTGACCCCTGGGGAACCCCACTGGTTACACGGCCCCACTCAGATTTAATACCATCTACGCTGACCCTCTGCGTTCTATCGGTGAGCCATGATTTTATCCAATTTAAAACTTTCCCCTCGATACCATGAGCCTTAATTCCTGGATCCAACCCTGCCATGTAATGACTATTGCAGGAATCCCAAGATACTCAAGTAATTATGGGGTTCTGGCCAATGCAACAAATCCACCAACAGTTTTGTGAGACGTAGATAGAGTTCGGCCAACCGGGCGCCTTGTTGTTACTAGCTGAAATGAAGTTTGCACTCGTACTGTAGATTATGATATTGTTAATGAAGTAAAATATTCATACATGATTACATTTGAATAAGCATGTTTATAAACTGTGTGGGAGACAGGTAGAGAGCTAAGAAGACCGCACCGCTGTGTAACAAGATAGCGCTTGGTATTGCATTTCATCCAAAAAATATGCAAATTATTTTCCTCTCAATTCATTTAACGATTTAGAAAAAAAGTAAAATTATTTAATATAAATATTACTCTAAAATTAAACGGATGAGAATACTGTGTGTAATAATATTGTTATTTTGAAATTTTTGTTACAGATCGTGACCGAGGACTGGTGGCGACGGAGTTTGTTGTTAACGGCCGACGGTCGACACGTTGAGCTGATCAACAGAACAACAACGTCTACAGTGGTCTAGTACTGTGCCTTAACGTGATCACCTGCAGCATAACATAACAACAATGTCTACAGTGACTGACAGTGGTCTAGTACTGTGGCCTTAACGTGATCACCAGCAGAACAACTTTAATGGTTTGTGGGCCTCTGTGATCACCCTATTCAAGATGTCTGACAGTATTAAAGAGTTATTTGTGAGCATTTATGGCGGGCCAATATATTTCACAATGAAAGCTTGCACCGAGAAAAAAGAACTTCAACAGCTCATTAGTGTAAGTACAGGATTTACTTTATACTTGTTATTATTATTTTTATCGGTGAATTTATAGTATTACACCGGTCTCTTTCACTGTTATTAATATGCATTTCGTATTGTGGTAAATTTGCTTTGTCACACCGTTCTCTGCTAGAAAGTCAAAAATATATTTTTCTAGTGTATTTGTGTGTGTTTAGACCGAATGTGACCTTCATTACTGGGGGAAACTAGCGGTTTTTTTCGTTGGACGTTTTCCGAAAAAAATCATGGCAAAATACACCAAAAAACACTAGAAAAACAAAAACCAAACCTAACCTAACCTAACTGACTCACCATATGATGGAATCACCTATTTCTTACCTTATTGGCCTGGTTCTTGTTCGTCGTTAGATTCTGGGATTCTTACACAACGTCACATGTGTTGGTCTTTGCGATATTTACATTCAGTCTTGCTCTTAGTACACTTTACTGAGGAACACCAAGTGATCGAGAAAATGCTACAGTTTCTTCGCATTTTTCCCAAAAACTCGCAATCAGCTCCATATAATTGAAGTGACTCCAATCGCAGACTGCCATGGTCGGAACTGAAGTTACTGAACTTGAATTTCGAAATATGAGAGACCCAAATTAAAGCTCGAATTTGATTGGGCCAAATATACCGCGAATTAAACCCCAAATCATTTTAATTGGTTTCAAAAACAAAAACGCTTTTGATTGGTCGCGTGACGTGTACGGGAACGCATGCGCGTGATGATTTATGAAGGAGACGCAGGAGACACACAGTGTTGGAGGAGAGGCAGACGATAATGGCGGAAGGTTAATGGAAGAAAATAGAGAAAATTTTGGATAAGCTATCTCCGTTATTATACATTTCCCCGGGTCCGACTAATTACCCAAATGTAGCCGCAATGAAGTCAAATGATGGTCCTACATGAATAAATCGGACTGCCAGTCACTTCTCGACTAGTATTTGGTGTCACGAAGTTAAAAAAAATTGGTAAACTTAATTTAATCTGAGTTAATAGATTGAGTGTATGTACCTAACCTAACCTAACACAACTCAGACTAAATAAGGTTTACCAATTTTTTGTGACTTTATGACACCAAATAATAATCGAGAAGTGATTCACAGCCCGATTTATGCTTGTAGGACCATCATTTGACTTCATTGCGACTACATTTGGGTTCATTTGGGTAATTACTCGCTCCCTCGGTACAAGCACGCGATCTATTAACTCAGTTTAAATTAAGTTTTCCAATTTTTTGTGACTTTGTGACACCAAATACTAGTCGAGAAGTGGTTGGCAGTCCGATTAATTCATGTAGGACCATTATTTGACTTCATTGCGGCTACATTTGGGTAGGACCGCATTTCCCCCGGTAATGTAATAGATGAAAATTATCTTATAATTAGACGTCTTATTCGAATATGATAATAGATTAGTGGTAGGAATGAACGGCGTGTAAACGCAATAATACCTGTATTATTTTAGACAATTCTAAGACATTTTTCTTCTATGATGTTTCCATCGGAAATTAAGGATAACCGAAATATTATATTTTCAAAATTATTACATTCGCTGAGTCACAAGTTTTGCCATGTCTTGTTTACTTTTGGCGGAGTGGGCGGAACCCCCCCCCCCCCACGGTTAGGTTATGTCTGGTAAGGTTTGGTTTTGTTGGTTGGTTGGTATTTTATTTATGTGATTTATTCAAAGAAAAAATCTGGTAAAGGTGCAGAAGGACTTTATGAAACCACCAAATTTTCAGATGTTGTTTGGATAATACTGAGTAATAAAATCTACAGTATGTGACAACATTGTACGGGAGTATTTTTTCTCTTTAGCCTATCCTTTGATCATAAATTACTTGTTAGTGGGCAGGGCATGGGAGAAGAGGAAAATAATGGGGGAAAAACACTGTGAATACTGATCATATGGCAATAATTTCGTGTCTGCGTCCTTTGTAGGCGAGGAAGTAAAATATTTACCGTAATACCGTACTGTCAGATCTCCCGTCGTAACCACGTTTTGGTTCACATCGTCGGCTATACGGGAGCGCCCACGGTCTCTGTTTACGCGTCATGAAATAAGCAGCGATCTCATCGAGCGTGTTTATTACAGTTTATACGGGATTGAATACGTTAATTTTTTCTGGAGACGTTTTGATAATAGTAAGTAAGAAAATCAAAATGACAATGCGAGGTTAGGAAGTTAGGGGTTGATATTGACAACTGACCCACTGATGCATTAATTTTTATGTTTACTTTCTTACAAAATATTCATCATTGATTACTGATATGATAATAATTTCTTGTGCAAATGGTAGATATTTAGGCACCTAAGCCACTCACTACTATGTCTTCTCAGTGGTGACTTCTCATCCCCATATATAAACAGCCAATCATATTGACCAATTTAAAAACACATCGTGGAGCATCTTGCCGCTTTCCCGCACGCCATAGCTGCCGGTTTCATTTTCGGCGTGGCATGTGAAGGTTGTCGCCGGTCATATGTGGTTTGTGAATTCGGGGAGAAAGATGACCGGACCCTTCGGTTTTTCAAAGACCACGGCACCCTTCATTTAAACAGAGACTGCCCAGACTGCAGGAATCCCTGTTGTACAACAAAGGAGGAATTTGTTCCAGTGCAACAAGAAACATTAAAGAAAAACAAGTAGCTGGAGCGTTGTGGCTACAGTTCTTGTGTTTATTAAAGAACTTGGCTTGAAAATGCCAAGATTAAACCCAGTGTTGTACAGTGCTCTTATTTATGAAAGTTTTTCTAAGAAAGTTCTTTTCACAGCAATACTGTGAAATTGAACTGGCTTTGTCTGCTAAGTCTGTTGTTGACTGGAAACAATTCTGCAGTAAGTTCTTTATACACTGGATGGAAACTCAGGAACCTATTGGTGGCCAAATAAAGTATTAAGAGATTGATTAAAGTAAATTTGGCAGAGTAAATTCCAACACGGCCACTTAGTGAAGGGCGTCTGGGTGTGGCGGCATCAAGCGTGAATTGGGCCGCACGTTCATTGTGCCGTTTTGAAAAAAAATGAGACGCCGACACCCGAGTTCCTCCGTGCCAGAAATTTATCCAGCCAGGCACCACGATCTACATGATTGCTGGAAAGCCTAATCCAACTTGGGGCCCTTAGATTATAACCACGAGACCATTAACCACAGCCAAAACATTGTTGACCCTGTTACTGTAGAACACACCAAAACAGTAGAATGGCTGTGAAAGGATATACAGTATAGTCCTGGGTTCTGAGGGCTGGCAACAGGGATTACCACTACAAGCACTACTTCGCTCGCTACCTGTTCTGCCATTCACTAAGACCACAGCACCAGTGGTGAATCCTGACCTAAGATCTTGAGCCTGCTCTCTGTTTTTAAGAGCGGGGAGTGGGGGGGGGGTGGTGCTGTACCTAGGTGGTTAACATTAAATACTATTTTGAGATAATATGATAATAAAAGCTTTCAAGGAGGCCTCTGCATGCCATTGTATTATTAACTTAGCCTGCTACCTATTCTCTCTTTTAAATTTAAAATAGCTTAAAAAAGGAAAGGAAAAGTATTTGAAAAAGTGAAATAAATCAAAAACAATTTAATTGTATTTTAGTTTATAAAAGTGTACAAAAGTCTTACCTTTCTCCTTCTCCTTGGTTTCTTCTCCCCCTTTCTTTCCCTTTCAGGCTTTCACTTATAAACGAACTCCTTCCTCCTATTTTTTTCAATAAATTTTTCAGTCACTTCATCATAAAATGTATGCTTCATTTTCAAGTGCCCAAGCAGAGTTTTTCAATTGACATCAACGCTAAGGATGACAGTCTTTCCTGTCCTCGTGTGCTTCTGCAATAGGTCTTGATCCTTTTTAAAGCAGAAAATGTCCTTTCTGCAGTTGCACTTATAGCAGTTATAGTGACAATCAGCTTTGCAAGTTTATACACTTCTGGCATTCCCAGATAGAGCTTAGTTTCATGCATGATTTTCATCAAATATAAAACAGGCTTGCCTTTGAACTCTGGGGAAACGTAAAGAACACTTAACTCATTCTTCAGCCTTACAGTATCAAAGAAAGATCCATACTGCTTCTCCAAACTTTTCACTGCAGTGTCAGGAAACTGCTTACAATGTTTTTTAAAAAAGTTGCTGTTAAGCAAAGAGAAGAAAGAATTCAAGCTGTGTGACTGTCTGAAACTTATCTCTTAGTTGAACTAAAATGTTATCCTTTTTTTTTTTTTTTTTTAAAGGGGATTAGCCCACCTGGGCACAGGTCACTGACCCACATCGGGGCCTGGGGGGGCAAAAATATAATAATAGTAATTCATAGTAAATAAAATTTATAATAAAACGTAAAATAAAATAATAATAACAATAACAACACTGTAATAATGATAATAAAGAAAAAATAATAATAATCAATAGTGAGAAATGCTATATGTACAGTATGTTGTCATGTCAACAGTAAGAGAAACAATTGAGACCCTGCAATTGTGTGTAAATGAGGCAGAAAGACAGATCAGCAACCTGGGACTTGGTCACAATATTCGTGATGCCATGTGGCAGCAGGGTCTACCATTAGACAACACATTACCGGGTATGCCTCCAATATCTTCCCAGGCGGTAGTACCTCCCTGTTTGATAGCTGCCTACTACCTACTATCCAAGATTTCATGGAACAGATCTCTGCAGCCTGCTGCTTCTAACTGTTCACTTCTTCTGGGTCTTTTATTGGGGTTTTCATTATTTCTTCCTGAAACACTTTCCTGAAAAGAAAAATCCTGTCGAAGTCGTCTTCACGAATTTTCTTAATTTTTCCAATCAGCTCTTCAACCTTTTTGGAGCAGTAGGCAATGTCCATTCCCTTTGTTTGAAGAATGTCGAAAAGAACATCCGTGAAAGAAAACACTGAGGAAAAAACATTCAACAGGAAGCGAGTCTGGAATTTCTGGAGGAAAGACAAAAATCCATGGCCCTTTAAAACCAGGGTTGGAAAAAATCATGAATTAAAA